ATATTTCAACTTCAGGAGATGTATTCATATAAATACAACATGATATGTTAGCTACTATCCAAACTTGTCCCTGCCCCATCAATATGTAGTCTAAGGTTATTCTGTTATCCATTATGATCCTGGCTGAAGAGGCTAAAGATTTTTGTTGGTTGGCTGTGGCTTCAACTGCTTCATTTGCTAAGTTACCTAGAGTGACTGACAGATTTCTAATCATATACTCATGATTGTCTACTCCCCACCATGGCAAGAGAGTCCTGCCAAACATAGGCCAAACTCCATCTCCTTGGTTTGCAGGTAGGGTTTGTCTAGTCCTGGAAAATAATTTTAAGGAAATAGTCCTGTGTTGAGTAACACTGGCAATATAAATAGAAAGGGGAGTAGCTAGATAACCTAACAGACAAATGCCTCTCATGCACCAGCTGTCAGCACATTCATAAGCCCGTGGCGGTTGACACACTGAAAAAAAAAAGTATATCCAGGAGGTGCACAGAGGGTCCCTGACAAATTATAGAAGTTACAGCTTTGGCCTACTGGTCAGAGACAGGTGTGTTATAGTTTTCTTTTGAACATAATTTCTCTCTCTCCAGTCCCCCATTTTTACCAAAGACAAATCACTGTAGGACCAATTTGTATGTAAAATAAGTTCTAGTCTTATTATACCTGACCTGATTATTTGCATAAAGTACAGCAAGAATAATGATTTACCATATAGGCTTTTGTTTTCGAATACGCTTTGCTGGACCTTTTAAAATAAGGAATTTCTGACTTTTAAAAGCCTTGAGATCAGTCAACCCAAGGATTTGCCGTCAGATTGTGCCTGTAATACCTGCATGAATGGATGTGTTATTCCTCTTTTCTCAGGGTCCCAAAATAGGTTGCTGGACCTATCAGAAAGTGACATTTTTTACTTACTGTGACAGAAACTTTGTAAAGGAACCTTACAGACAAGCTACCAGGCCAGTCTTTTTAAGGGGCTTTTTTAAATTGGTGCTCTAAAGTTAACCTCCATTCTGGTCATACCTAAAAACATGTCATTCCAGTCAAAGCCTTAGTAAAATAACCAGTGTCTCCAATTGTGTTCTATTACCAAAGAAAATAGGTTTTTATTGAAAACTAATGCAAATAATATATTGCCATAAACTGAAAATACTCACAAACAGCTTCCAAGTTATGGAGAGAGCAGAGAGAAAGGTAAATGCCTCAAAGTTTTGTTCACAAAGGTATATTTTATCTAATGTGTTGTAAGTTAAAAATGGTTCAAAAGGAAAATGTTTTCTTGACTCAGGAAAACAAAACATAAGAGATCATCAATGTTTCAAATAAAAATGTCATAAAAGATCTTTTTAGTCCTCTATCAGTTCAGTCCCATGTAGCTAATTCTTGTTCTGTTTGATGTTGGGTTAACAATTCTCATGCAACTTCTTAATCAGAGCCCTGGAAGACTCTTCCTAGTCTGATGGCATTATCTCCAAAGTTATCAGAAATCTGTATTTAAGAGTACTTATCAGAGTCCTTTCCATGAAAAGTAATTTCGGGTGTAACTGATTGGAAAGCTTTTTAGAGAAGAATTCAAAACAATAACTGTGGATTACAAAAACTTAGCCATGGCTAAAACCTGATAAAAGTTGTCAATTGTCAAGAAAATTTAGTTATTTCTATTTTATGTAGCATTTTAAGATAACAACCAGAACCATGACTGACAGCATCACATCAGGACCATCTCATTTTTATAATAATGTAATCTTAAGAATATTTCTACTAATAATATATCTACACAAATATAACTTTTAAAAAGATTTAACATATCAAAATTACAACTGATACCATGTGAGACTTTTATAAATGTATGTAATTTTTAGTACATTTATATCAATAGCACACCCATAAACATAACCAAAAGAAGATCTAGTATTATTTAGCATTTGATAATGTCTCCCATACAATTTTACCAGATAAATCCTACCAAAGATGTTAAAAGATTCAGAACATTTGATCAAAACGAACTACAGGTCATTTAAAAATAATAGTTATTCATTTAACTAGCATGACAGTCAAAGGACCTCAAAAGTAAGTAACAGAAAGTTACATGGGCGGTTTCCTGGTTATACAAAATAATTCAGACATATCATAAAGCCAAGAGTATAAGATTATATTACATTTGAGGAAAACATTGCTTTTCTAAACTTTAAGATAAATATGTTAGCATTATGCCATAAGAACAGCATTAGGGTTGGGGTAAAAAATTGTAGCAGTTCATGAAAAAGTTGAAGAAGAGTTATCAGACCAGCCAAGCAAAAAGATATGTTTTTTTCAAGGGGAAAAAAACAGAAGATAATGAATGTGATCTGCAACTTATATGTAACAAGGTACAGGAAAAGTTGAACTTCTGAGATATAAATCTGACGTTTTAATTTTAGAATTTAAAGTCAATATTTCTTGCAATACCATTGAGAGCAAATCAATACTTCAAAAAATTTTGTGGCTTTAACCAAAATTTTTAGTTTTGTGTTAGTGCATTTTTAATATTACAGCTAATTTTAATAAGACCTTATAAACAAATCTATTCAATCTCAGTTAGTTTTGACTGCAAGATAAGATTTCCGTAAACCTTTTATAACCTCTTCCAATTTGTTATATTTTCATTCTTTAACTTTCTATATTTATTTAGTTTTATCTATAATTTTTTTATTCCTTCAATTTAAAACAATCCTTTAGAACCTCTAAACTAGGCAAAATTACTTGCCCTTAAACGAAAACCATATTCCTGTCTTCTTATGTGTTTACCAAAAACACATCCTATTTTCCTTACACATTCTGCATATAGAATTGTTTCTCTTGTATCTAGTAGTTTCAATTACATATATAAGTCACAATATTAACTCTTAGTAATCCTTATTTTAGGGAAGAACCTAGGAGGTAAGAACTCTTGAATTGTCTGTCATATATCAGTATTTTATAGATAAAATATTATAATTATTTTATGTATTTTAAAACCATTTTTTAACCTTTAGAAATTTCCTTATACATTTTCTTAATTGGAAGTGGCCCAGCTGCTCAGTAAGTATCATAACTTTAAGATTTTCAAAAACATAAAAATTTCATTTATTATGTTTATCTAATTTATTTGTTTTTAACAGTTTATCTAGATTAGTTATGAGAACAGAGATATTAGACAAAGCTAGTCATCATTTTAAGTTTTTTCCTTGTTAACCATTTCACACCTTGTGAATATCAGGTGTTCACCTAAGTAAGAACATTGAAGTGAAATACATGGATATTTTGCTGATAAATCAGAGGATTTCATTGTTTTCATTAAACCAACAATATTAGCCTTATTTATCAAAAGAATCACGTAAACAAAGATTAAGGCTTCTGCTGTAGCCATCACAGTTTTTAACCTCTGTTAAGCCAAACATTGATACAGAGACCAAAAATACAGACAGATCAACAAAAATCAGAACCAGACTAGATTATCTCAGTGGCTGCAGCTTTTTAGTATTGCCTTAATTCTTTGTGACTGGAACATACACCAGATCTGGGACTCTAACCTGACCAGAATCCCCTCTGGGTAGGACTCAAACCCACAATCCTAGACAAGGGTGGGACTCTCATCCATAATCCTAAACCACAGGGTGGGACTTGAACCCACAGTCCTTATGATGAGTTCAAAGACAATTAAAAGTACAGGTGCGTATTAACAAGGTACTCACCAGAAAGATGTCTAATCCAGAAGCAATTTCTTTTCCCAAAGGAAAAGTGCCAAGGGAGCCTGAAGTGCCATGGTAGAGAAGCAGGAACCCTATAGTTGAGCCTCTGAATGCACTGGTCTAGGTGGCCACTCAGGATCAGTGCAGGGGGCCTGCACACCACTAGGGTCAACAGTACCTTGAACAGGCTGTTCGTCTCATCTGGGGTTCTAGTTTGTTACCAAGCAAAAGGGGCTCACTGCCCAATGTGCTAGAAGCCAATACTGACACCAAGTTTTTGAAAAAAAGAAAAGCTTTATATTAAAAGTCCCTTCTGAAGGAGACAGCAGTCAAAATCAAATTTCTCTCTCTGTGCTGGCATTAAAGCAGTATTTTTATTAGAGAAGGTTCAGGGAGTGGATTCTGAGATTAGCAGGTGATTGGTGCAAGGAAGAGGGAGGTCTGGAAAGTCCTTGGCCATGCACGGTTATTTCTTCGTGTTAACTCCTGAGTTGCACGTGCAAATTCAGGGGGAGTCAGTACAAAACATGTGGTGGAAATTCAGGCTACGACATCAGCAAGCTTATTCTGTGCAAGATCCAGTCAGTCATCTTGGTTCCAACCAATTTCCGCCAGGTTTTTCTAGATCTCACAAGTGGAGGGAGTTTCAGCAACTTAAATTTCTTTTCTTATCTGCTGTCCCGAAACTCAAACATTTCTATTAGTTACTGATTTCTTACTCTTTGGGACTTTCCAGATCTCCCATTTCCATCTACCAATCACCTACTAATCTCGGAATCTACCCCTGGAAACTTTTCTAGTAAAAATAGTGCCTTAGTATCAGCACCGAGAGACCGATTTGAGTCTGACTCTTGTCTCCTTGGGAGTTGACTTTCAATATACAAGTTTTTCTTTTTTGAAGAACGTAGTGTTTTAGTATTGGCTTCTGTCGCATTGGGCAGTGAGCCCCTTCAGCTCTATCACACTAACTCCAGGTAGAAAGCATCAGAATGAAATGGAATGGTAGGGCACACAGTTGGTGTCAGAGAATTAAGGAATTGAGTAGTGTCAGAAAACACCTCAGACTACACTTTCTCGCTTGGTGTGGGAAGAGTTCAGTTTGTGTTTCCTTCTTCTTGAGTGACCGAACTCCAAGAAGATGCCACTTCCGGAGAGAAACTAGGGGTCTCAACTTAGCCTGGCAGTGAGAATACAAATGGCAGCTGGGATGACCCAACAGGGGGCTAATGTTTGAGCTATTGTGTGTCACACTGACCCTGACCAGCCAAGTAGTCACAGCCCCACAGGCTCTTCCTGCCTGTCAGATGCCTCATTGCCACCTGTGATGCTCAGACAGAAACCATGAGCCCTGAAAAACACCCTATTGTTTTGTGATGTCACCTCTGGAATGTTCTGAGTGTTTTGGTGACCAACTTCTGCATAGGACCTATACCTGGCAACTCACACTGGTATGGCTTTTTACTTGAGATAGAAATAATCATCTTAGGCAAGCAGGTACAGTTATCTCCGCGTCAAAGACTTTCAAAAGTCTTTTACATCAACTATAATATCTAGCTTAATATCTGTTCAGAGGTTGATAAACCGTCTTGCCAGATATCGTCTACACATTCTTCCAGACTTTTGTAATTGTACATAACTGACAAGAGGGAAATAAATGAGTAGAAGTTCTATGTTTTTTAGGTGAGCAATTGAGGCCCAGAGGATGAGTTGGGAAGCAGCAATCTTCTTCTTTTCTCTCTTCCACAGCACTCAAGGCCAAATTTTACAAGAAAAAGAGATACCAGATCTGAAAGCCTAGAAATTCCAATCAATGTGGTTCTACCTCAGGTAGGGATAATCACAGAGGATGTAACCTATTGGTGTTAGCCAGAATAACCCCCCACCTCCTCCTCCAAAACTCTAGCAAGATGTTGTAGAATAAGCAGAGATAGGGCTTCAGGTTCTAGTTTGGGTTGGCTGCCAGCAGGCAGCGTGCTGGGGAAGGCCACATAGCCCCTGTGGGCCTTGGGTTCTTTTTCCCACGAATGAGGTGGCTGGGTCAGATGATTTGGTAAGAACTTCCAGTCCTAACATTCCAAGTTTCTATGATACTCTGAAGTAACCCAACCTTCTCAAAACGAGACCTTTTGGTGCTTAGTGTTGGTGCATTCACTTTGGATTTCTAGAGGAGAATTAGAACTGGGACTTGGAATCAAATGCGTAAGAATGAATCCATGAGAAGAAAACCTCATTCATGGACAAAGGGGTACAGAGTTATTTGGAGTTGTCAAGATAATTAAGCCCTGCTATGCACCAAAGACAGATGTAGGGGCCGTGGGCATAGATGCTTTTGCGGTCAATGAATTGGTGAAGTACTTGCAGGCTAGAGATTCTCAGGTCTCCTCCTGCCTGCAATCAGCTCTTTCCTTAGTGGAGTCCTCTTGATTGAATTGTGTCTACTGATGCTATGTCACAAAGGGGTGGCTTTGCTTTCTCCAGAGTCACCTAAGGCCTCATTGGAAGACCAGGGCCATGCAACCAGAGGGGTTGAAATGTAGGATGGAGGAATCCAAAGCAGAGGTAACTATCTGAGAGCTCTGTCCAGGGATATATAGGAGGAGGACTGACCACTGGTGAGCATTCCAGATATATAATTGTAACAATCTAGGCAAGTATGTTTAGTGGGAGGCAAACATATGGAAGAAGAAAACATCCTGGATGTTTATTTTCACATTATCTTTATAACTTTGTAATGAACAGTCACTTTTCTATGACTTGAATCTTAGCTAGAATATAAGATAACTTCCCCCTGATCATTCGACAGGATAACAAGCTGTAGGAATCTTTTTGGGCCTGATGCCTGATTCTTTCCACCTGAAATACACAGGGAGTTGTGTTGGCCACTGCTTCCCCAAGAGTGGGTGTTACTGCTGTGATGCCTCATGGCCCATATAAACCAATCTTTTCTTCCAGAATCCTGGGGCCTCTCAACTTTACATGCTTTGAAAGTACCTCAGATGGCTGAATGTTCTCTGATAGTAACCCTCAGTAATGTTGGCAAAGTTGGTGTTTAAGAAACTTGGTCAGGCAGAGGATGCCAACCTAGGGGTGGGTGTGAAGGAGGGGATAGGATTTGAAAGAGTAGTGGTCATGTGACAGAGAAATTGGAATGATGTTTCCATCAACACCTACCGTAACGTTCCCTCCCCAGCTCCCAGAAACAGCCCAGCAATCAAGGAGAAGAGAATGTGGTTTAAGACAGCTCAAGCTTGTCTTGGGGCTGCCTGATTACCGTTCTGGAGGACCCGGTGCTGTTGCTGGGGTCCTGTGGGGCAGAGTGGGTGAAGAATGAGAGGATATCTCCTGTCTGGGCACGTGTACCTCCCACGGGAAGGTGTATACACCTGCCAAGAGGGCACAAGCCATGCACCAGGTTTTGGACACCTGTCAGGATGCTCAAGACTGACACTCTGGGGATGGGTGTGGGTGTCTACAAGTAGATGATCTGAACCAAAATACCACCAGGGCTGCCAGAGGGACCAATGTGCTCACTCGGCCTCCCTAGATGAGATGGTGCATGGCTTAGGGGACAGGGATGATCTGGGAAGCAAGGAGAGGAAGAAATATCGACTGAATGTTAGTGCGATCATGTGTTGGGCACGGTGCCAAGTAAGTGTGAGGTAGAGATTTTACAGGTACAGGAACTGGCAACCCCAGGAACCCCACTAGTAATGGCAGAGATGGAGGAAGGGGCTTGAACTCCAATCAGTGCCCATGTTCTCCGCTATACCAGAGCACATGCCACTAAGCTGGGCCACGCTGCATCTTAGCTCTGTGGTTCTTCTCTTGCTCTTTGGAGATGGAGTCTTCTCCCCGCATCTTAACCGCTCATCTCTGGGCTTCTTATTTTGTATTTGCCAAAAGCTACTCTATTCTTGGATGGAATCCACTTTCCATTTGTTTCAGAAAGGACTTGTGGCCGCAGCTCTGTCTCTAGAAAGTGCCTCTGCTTCCCAGCTCCCAGTCCTGCTGTGCATTTAGGCTTCTCAATTACATTGCAAATGCCTGTGATCACTACTTGTTATCACCCTTAGGTCTTTTCAGGACTCATTGATTTCCCATTTTTCTTCCTCACATTAAATATTTGTGTTTTCTGATCTATTTCCCTCCAGCACATTAACTTGCAAGCCATCAATGCCATTTCCAGCCCAAGCTAGCTGATCTCCTGGTTCCTTTTGCACGTAATGATTCAGTTCTCAAAGACTTTCACGTTTCCCCAATGAGCATGCTCTGTGAATTTCATTAAGGCATTGTTTACTCCTAGATCATTAATGAAAGAGCTACACCAGATCAGACTGAGCTCCAATAGCACACACCGGTGCCACCTTCATCCTTCCCAGTTGCCTTTTCTCCTTCCCCTTTGTTTGGGCTTGTTCCTCAGAAGCAGTGAATTCCTGCTGACAGCACCCAGATCGCCGCCAATTTGAATAACGGTTCCCAGGAAGATGTCATGAGAGTCTCTGTTAAACAGTATGCAAACATACTACCTATGACATCTTCTTTATCCTGTTTGCTGTTAACGTTGTAATTCTATCAACATCGGTCACATTTACCTTGTGAATTATCCTTTTACGTGTTAGTATTTATTAAAACCATCACTGACTTTGCCATGGTACTGGGGAGGTGAATTAATTTAAAATAATGATAATGAGACTCAGCCTTGTCATCTCATATGAAAATCAGTAGCATATTTGGCTTTTCCTTCCAGAATCCTGGGGCATCTCAACTTTACATGCTTTAAAAGTACCTCAGATGGCTGAATGTTCTCTGATAATAACCCTCAGTAATGTTGGCAAAGTTGGTGTTTAAGAAACTCAGTCACCAGGCTTGGACTCTATCAGCAGTGTTGGGACATCTCTTCTGGGCTGTGGTAGCCACATTTTTTCAGGGGCGGAGAGACGTCAGTGTGTCAGCTAAGCCTGGCTAGTTGCTGTTCAATCCCATTCCCAAACCCTTTGGATGGGAGACCACAACTCCAGTAATTCCACCCCAGAAGGTCCCATCCAGAAAGACCTGTTGCTACAAGTCCTGTAGCACCAGTAAGGGATTTTGGTCCTTTCACTTCCCCTTTTCCCTTTGCCCTTTGGCCTTTGCTTTTTGCCTCCCTTCTTTCAATTGTCCCCTTCCCCCATGTTCTTCACTTGCCACCAGGTTGGTGATCTGACAAAGACACAGTTGTTGGCAGATTTCAGGCATTTTCCTTCCAGGACCACTTACATTTACCAGGGAGGGTGCCAGACCTAATGCTAAGAAAGAATTCTAATCCACAGGTGGGATTTCAGGCTTCTGTGAAGGCGATGTTCGTGCCCAGGGCCCTTCCTGGATCCTTGGCACTAATGCATCATTGGGTTACAGCTATGAGCATATTTCCCCAGAGGACAGAGTCTCTTGGCACCTTTCTAGCACCTGATGGGAAGGCGTGATGAGCCCATGACCAACTTATTCCCCTTCTGCATCAGCTTCATATCCCATTCTTCCATGAAGAAGCCAATCTTTTTCTTTCCTACCTACTGGATCTCTATGTAAGGGCATTTCCTAGAGACCAGGAAAGAGACAATCTTTGTTTTTTTCATGGTCAGTTGTACCATGCTACACAGACAGTTCCTCCCAGGCTTAGGAGAACATCTCTGGGGTGTTCTTGGGGCTTTGTATTGGCAAAGACCTCTTGTCAAAGGCTAAAGGATATCAGGGCAGGTTAGCTTGGCCCATGAAACCAATCCAGTGATACCACTGGTCAAGGAGTCCTACTGAGAAGGAACTGCTTCTAACACAGGCCAAGGAGATCTGGAATCCTGGAACTGCATATGTTTGCTGAACTCAGATGCTCAGTTTTTGGGTAGCCCTTTTGTAAAGAAATATACTCCACGTTGCATAGCGCTTTAGGCTGGGTATGTTTAAACCTTACCAGTAGAACTGCCCATCTGTTTAGTTTTTATGACAGCTTGCCTACCACTTTCTTGTCCTCTTGCAACCCCAGGAAGTAGGCAGAGCGGCCATGTTTAGGCTTATTTTAGAGGTGACATTCAGAGAGGCAAAGTGACTTACTCAAGAGCAGTCAAAGGAGGCACTTTTGAGCCCAAAGTTACTGGAAATTTAGCGCCTTTACCCTCGTTGGATTATATATTCAAGATGATGAAATGGACCACTAGCATGCTTGTGTGCAGGGGGTGATGGGAGCTTCCTCTAAGGGAACCTAGGGGTTTGTGGAATTCAAGTGAGGAAAACTCCATGCTTATAGATTTTACATCATACCATAACAGCTTTGCCCTGGGACTATTTTAAAGTCTTAAAGGATGAATGGAAATGAGGACATAGCTTTATCAAATACACTAGATATATTAAGGCAAAAGAAATGGCCATTTTTGTAGGCGAAAAATGGTAAAATGTTAACAGTTTCTTATGGTTCAACCTAGTATTTCCTCCCAATCTTGCAGTGTATTTTGGTTGATTCAGTTATTGCCAAGGAATGTGAAATTTGCTTTCTAATTCCCAAGACTTGGGATGTCACAAAAACAAGGGATAGGTCACTGTGCTTAGATAATTGCAACTTACTCATATGGGGAGAGGAGAGGCCTGGTTGTAAGAGAGCCATTGCAAAGGAATGATATTAGTACATGCAAAATAAAATGTCTGAGCATTGTGAAGTGCTAGAATAAACATGGAGTTTGCAGTCAAATATCCTGATTTTAAACCCTGGTTCCACTCCTTTACCAGCTATGTAATCTTATGCAGAATCATGCCAGTTCTTTTGGGTAAGATATTACATATGAATATAGAAATCAATTAGC